ATCTGCGTCCCGAAAACAGATATGTTTACACCAAAGACGACTACTTAATCAATATCAGAACACCGCCCCATTTTCCTGCCAAAAATGGCCACCATCTTGCAAATATGCAAAATAGATGAACGTGTGATCATTTTACACGGTTGTTAACTGGGAGAAATGGAATCTGTGCCCCAGTAAAGATATATATTGACACCAAAGACGACCACTTAATATCAGCATATCGTCCCATTTTACTGCCAAAATATGGCCGCCATATTGGAAATATGCAAAATAGGTCTACATGTGATCATTTTTACACATCTGTAACTGGCAGAAATTGAATCTGTGCCCCTGAAAACATGTTTATTGACACCTAACACTACTACTTAATCGAAATAAGCACATCGTCCGATTTTATCGCCAAAATTGGCCGCCATCTGGGAAATATCTTCATAAAGTGATCGAAAAAATCTGAAATATTGTCACGACCCCTGCCAATATTAATGCATTGCCAAATCGCAGTTGATATGTCAATAACATTATAAATAAGGTAAAGATAGGTTGCCAGGCAACGAAACATACGCCCACAGCAGCTATATCGTCCGGGCAGTCAACAAGAGTTGTCGCATATTTTTACTTTTTTCGGTAATGAAACATTTATAATACATTCAAATCTGATTAAGAGTAACAACTCATTAAGTAATTATCAGAAAACCATTAGAATTTGTTTGGTTTTTATAAAGTTCTTTTCCATGCTAACGTTTAGTATACGAAACTTTTAACATCATGGATTTAGCTGTTTCAAGTCATAAAGATTCATTGAAAATCAATAGGGTTCTTCGTCTCATGACCTTAAACACTGTGTATAAATTTAAAGTCAATCGGATATTAACTTTAGCCTCTAGAGCGTCCACAAGATTTTTCAAAGTGATCAAGGGCCATAACTATGGCAGTAATTATCGGAAATTGCTGAAAATCAATAGGATTCTTCGTCTCATGACCTTTAACACTGTGTATAAATTTAAAGTCAATCGGATATTAACTTTAGCCTCTAGAGTGTCCACAAGCAATTGTGGACGCCGGACCGACGGACGGACGGGGGCGACAACAATATACGACCACATTTCAATGTGGGCGTATAAAAATAAAAAAAAGTTGAATATTATCGCAAAATGGCTACCCTCAAATAATGGACTCCCATACTATGAAGACCTACTCAGAAAAAATGTCAACATTGGTTTTTTATCATTAAACATCAAAACCTTATTCCACGATTTCTACCCGAAAAGCCGACGGATGGGAATTATGTAACAAACCTAATCTGACTATATTAAACAACCCTTGAACTGTAAAACCAGTTATGTCATCTATGTGATTGTTTGTTCAGGCTGTAATAGACGGCACATTGGAAAGATAGGTTGCCAGGCAACAAAACATACGCCCACAGCAGCTAAATCGTCCGTGCGGTCGACAAGGGTTGTCGCATATTTATTCTTTTGTAGGTAATTAGGGGCATTTAATAGACAATTTCAAACAGATGACATTATAATTTTTGTCGTTTGAGGGTTCACAAGGTTCTATAAACTAAAACAAGGGCCGTAACATTGGAAGTAATCTGCAGAAATTGTTGAAATTCGACAGGCTTTTTCGTTTTACTAATTCAAATAATGCATATAAATTTCATACAGATCAGATGATAACTTTTGTCGTTCGAACATTCACATGGTTGAACAAAGTAAAACAAGGGCCATAACTCTAGAAGTAATTACTGACATTCAATAGGCTTCTTCATTTCACTAATTTAAATGATGCATATGAATTTCATACAGATTGGGTGGTAACTTGTCGCTCGGGCGTTCACAAGATTCAACAAAGTGAAACAAGGGCCATAACTCTAGATGTAATTAACGGAAATTTGCTGAAACTCAAAAAACTTGTTCGTTTTACTAATTTAAACGATGCATATAAATTTCATACAGATCGGATACTAACTTTTGTCGTTAGAGCATTCACAAGGTACAACAAAGTGAAACAAGGGCCATAACCCACGGCGTAATTAACGGAAATTGCTGAAATTCAATAGGATTCTTTGTTTTACTAATTTAAATGATGCATATAAATTTCATACAGATCGGTTGATAACAATTATTCACAAATTGGCATAAAATTTATAACGTGAATTTAGACGAATTAGAAATAACTGAACAGATATTATATATATATGAACAAAAATCTGAATATTACAAAATATAAAACGATGGAATTATTTCATAAAAACATATACTTTGTTTCTGATACATTTAAACCTTTACCCAAACCTTATACATCCAATGAACTATTTATATTTCAATCTTATAAAAAATTAACAAACACATTGTGCCAAGCGCAAGACCATTCTTTAAATTTATCAAAAGACAATGTGAAAAAATTGTACGATGACTATAACCCTATAAGCGACCACAAAACTATACATATACTAAATGATAATATTATGACAAATTTAATGTCCTATTATGGCATAAAAACACAAAACTTAAAACCCCCCCAAAAAAAAACATTTACAAAACAAGAATTCACTTCGATACAATTATTTCAAGCGCCATTACTAAATGGGAAGAGGAACTTGGTAAAACAATCAACGAACTTGAAATCGAGTCAATATTTAATTTAATCAATAACACAAGTACAGACATAAAAACTAGAATATTTCAATTCAAATATATTCACAAAATAATCTACACCAACTTTAAACTTTTTAAAATAGGAAAGGTTTCCTCAACCTTATGTGACTTTTGTCAATCAAATATTGAAACGATCGACCATTTGTTTCTACTGTCAATACTCCCAGAATCTATGGGCTTCACTGAATGAAATATTGCAAAAAAAAAAACGGTATCCATTGTAACCTGATGTCTCCTGTCATCCATTTTGGATACTATAATGTGCACGAAGACATCGGAAATTTCACAAACCAGTCTGAGGTTTCCTTTGTTAACCATGCAATAACATTAACCAAATATTATATTTATAAGACAAAACTTGCATCCAATCAACCAACTAAAGAAAAGTACATCGCTTTTCTACATCCAAACGCAAAGATAGACTCACAAGTAGACAAGGACAATTTAGAAAAGTGGAAATTCCTTTTGCGTCACTGATTCTTCGCGAACTGTTGAGATTGTTAAGTTTACAAACATCATGAACTGATTGTAGTGTTAAATGTGTCTACATCTTTCTTATGAACTTGTATGTTAATGTATATTACTGTATTATATTACTAATTACGGTCAATAAACTAGTTTTAAAAAAAAAATAAAAATAATTTTTTTTTAGAGGAAAGTGGAATGAAAACAGTGGAGATGAAGCATTTTATTACAAGCATGAAGGTGGAAAGTTGATTGGAATGATCTTGACACATGTAGATGATTTTTTCAATAGCTGGAACGACAGATTTTATAACTGAAACAACCAAGAAGAAAAAACAAAATTTAACTATATCCAAAATTGAAGATAATGTATATATATTTACCGGAATTGATGTAAAGAAAGGTCAATGTGGAATAACTTTATCTATGCAAGCTTATGCTGATAGTCTTGAAGAAATTACTTCAGGGAGAAAATAAATTGGCTTGCTGAAAACACAAGACCTGATTTAGCAATTACTGCATTATTAATGGCTAAGAAAAATAATTCCGCAACCATTGGAGATTTGAAGAAAATAAATCATGTAGTTAAGAGAATAAAGAGTAAAGAAAGTACAGTGAAGTTTACAAGAATTGGTAGAAAAGAAGATTTGAAAGTATTTGGTATTGGTGATGCATCTTATAAAAGTGATGATAATTCAATCAGTGGCAGTATTATCTTATTAGGTAATAAGAAGAACCATGCTGTATTACCATTATATTGGAAGAGTAAAACCATTCCAAAGGCGTGTCATTCTGCTAAATTTGCTGAGACTAGAAGTATGGTAAAATTGGTTGATGATTCCAAATATTTAGCAGATCATTTAGAACAGTTGTTGTTTTGTCATGTAAATGGTGATATTTCTGTTAAAATATTTATACAGATTCCAAGCCAACACTCGACTCGATAGTTAGTAGCAGACAAGTAGAGAGGAAGTTATTGAGAAACAGTATTAGAGGTTTGAAACAGAAGCTCATTGATGTTTCTGTTGAATCATTTAGTTGGTTAGATGGTGATAAAAATATGGTGGCTGATATTTTAACAAAAGAATGTAGAGATAATGGCGAAATAATCACATTCAACAGATTACGTGTGGCATTTAATATGGACAATTTAGTGACATATACAAATGGTGATCTTAAATTAGAAAATGCAAGAAATAAGGACATGTTGTGAAGTGAACAATACTTTACGTTTTTTAAATATGATTTTTAATGTTCAAAATCATACAAAATCCGGGGGGTACATGATATACCTTAGATAGTAATCAGTCTACTGAATTGTGTGAACTTAGTTTGGGTGAACATTGTTCAGAACTTCAGTCTTATTGTTTGTAACATTGTGTCTATGTGGGAGCCACGGTGGCTAGGTGGTTAAGACGCTGGCTCGCTAGCCTGGAGGTCGGGTGTTCGATCCCTGCATTGGCCGAGAAAGTTCATCTGGATTTTCCAAGGTGGTTTCCCCTTGTCAGTGGTGCAGAACAGAGGGCCTGACAAGGACAGCTGTCTAGTCCTTTGGATGAGACGAAAAAGCGAGGTCCCGTGTATATATTGGAATGCACGTAAAAGATCCCTTGGTAGTTGGAATTCGATATAAGAGTAGGCGATAGTGCCGCTGCCCGGGCAAAATTTCCCTCATTGCACACTGTATGGCGTATGCCCGTCTTCAATAGCCCAGTATAGGAGCAAAACAGTAGGACGTTAAATCCCATTTCATTCATTTGTATCTATGTACAAGGCAGTCAGTTTGATATTAAACTTCACTGGACAAAGACTTGTTTATATGGGTGTTCCCTTTCTACAAACCGCACGTTATGTTTCCCTCGCAAATTTACATACCTCCAAGTTCCTTTACATCAAGTATACAATCTTCAAACAGCAGAGCTTTTATACTGAACCCTACAACATAAATTACAATCTTATGATTAAACAATTTCCTGTTAATATTACTGTATCATCAACCTAAACACAGTATCATGTTAGATACTCTACGATAAAGCCCATCAAATATAAAGATAGACAACTGACCAATATTTACAGAGTGCAAATCAAAGTGTATGTGTACTGAAATAAAGTATTCCCAATTGGCTTCCAAATATTAATTTTTTAAAAGTTATCAACAAAAGATTTATTTGGTACACTCTTGACAATAAATTTGAATACCAGGTTTGAAATTAAATAGACATCTTGATAGTAACGGCTATATTTATTTTTGTCATAGTTAGTTATCAATGTTGGGCAATAGGCTATGAAAAACTTGGTTTTGAATGCTATATTTCGAGCATTAGGAGCTAACATCAGTTTTTTGTTTTTATGGTAAATAGCACAGCTGTAATATCTGGCAATATTCTTTTAAATACATGTAAATTAGAAGCTTATTTACATGTGTATATTCTAAAAATGTTACCTATTGTTGGTTCTATTTTATGAAAATCATCTCCACTTAGTAGAGCCAGTAGTGAACTTTTCCCAGCTTTTGTTAAACCAAGACAGAGTACAGTAAAGTTTGGTTTAACAGTGGTCGGACCTCTACAGCACATTCTTCTAAAGCACTGAAATATCCAACATATATATTTAGCGAACCAAACATTCGCACAGAGATATGTTACGTCTGGTAATCTGGTTGGAGGAAACCTGAAAACACAGAGAAAACCCACAATGTTAGGCAGGCGACAAATGGTTCGCCGCACCTTAAGAAAATTGAAGTTTGGTATGAAAAAGCTATTACTAAGTATTAGCATCACATAGGTTTTGAGTTTGGCCGTTCATACTGTTACTTTGTTTCCATCTGATACTTCTCTCTATGTAATACTGTTATTAGAAGCAGGATTTTCCAGCTATATTAAAGATGCATTATGTAATATACATTGACATTGCTGAAGAGAGGGTGGTTATAAACAACTTAAAAGTTTTAAAAAATAGACAGTATTTTATATAAACATACATGCGGTGTACACAAAAATGTGAACATAAAAACACAAATAAAAACTATTATGCAAAAATGAGTAATGTTTATAACAAAATATCATCAATGTCACTATAATATCACAGTCTAGAGTAGAATTTATTCCCCATCCATAACAAAATGGCATTAATTATACAAAGTTCTTGTTGGATTCAGTTCCTCAGAAAAAATACATTGGTTGCCAGGCAAGATACGCCCACATTTTGCAAGAGATGGATAGAGAACACGCTAAAAGAACCCAAAAAAACCCTGATTTTTCGTACAATCAGGGGCCATAATTCAAGAAGTTATGGTCTGAAATGTGTGAATATTGAAAGGGACTGAGATCTTTGGGATATAAAGATATATTTTAAGTTTCATCAAAATCGGACAAAAATTGTGACCTCTAGAGGGTACACAACCTTTGTATTATATACTTGTACACAATTTGCACACCAGGAGCGGCAATTTTGTTGAGCAGTTTTGTTTCAATTTTCCCGAAATTCGAATCCAACCTTCGTTATGGTGAAACAGTGATATATTTAAACGTTTTTTTAAAATCTGACAAAAATTGTGTCCTCTAGAGGACCCACAAGCTAAAAATGTGATTTTGCGTACAATCAGGGTTCATAATCCAGGAAGTTATGGTTTGATATGTGCTAATATCCAAAGTTTTATCAAAATCAGACAAAAATTGTGACCTCTAGCAGGTCCACAACCTAGTTATTACATACTTTTACATAATTTGCATTCAAGGAGCGGCTATTTTGATGGGCAGTTACCGTCCGATTTGTACAAAATACGAATTCAATCATCATCAGGGTGCAATGATGATACATTTAAAATCGATTTTTAAAATCGGATAAAAATTGTGACCTCTAGAGGATCAACAAGTTAAAGTCACGATTTTGTTGTACAATCAGGGGTCATAATCAAGTAAGTTACGGTCCATTATGCACGAATATCGAATGGCTAGCTGTGCAATGTGAGGAATTTGCCTGGCAAGCTGTTAATCCACTAGCTCAGCTCACCTCCTCTTATAGATGTAAAATGTGCACTGTCAGTTTGCACACAGGAACTCATTTATCAAAAGACAATAATAAGGAACAAACGTAGATATAGTTGACACTCCATTTTGTTTGATCGGGCAGAGATATGTAGCACGTAATTTAAAAGCGGATTTTAACAAAACTGCAGGGTACTTCTCTAAGAACTTTGATTTTTGGCATGAGAATGCTACAATTAACACATTCTTTCACTAAAATATTAATATCCTTTTTGATGGAGCAAAGATGGCAAGATATTCGATGTCAGCTTCTGGCCTATTACGATCAAACAAAGTCTTGATTATCAATTTTCAAATTAAATTATTAAATGGTGATCTCGTTTCAATCCGTTTAAAATTACAACCATTCGATGGTCTAGAGTGTTAATATCCTTTTTGATGTAGCAAAGGTGACAGGATATTAGATGTCAGCTACTGGCCTATTACAATAAAACAAACTTTTACATTAAATTATTAAATGGTGATCGTGTTTCAATCTGTTTAAAATCACAACCATCTGGTGGTCTAGAGGATCAATTATGGGCTTGTCATGTGAATAAATATTTAAGAGCCTGTGGTAGCCTCAGTGTTCACCTCAGAATTCAACTGATCGCAAACCCTGAACCACTCAGTGTTCGGCGCTATTGCACTTTTGCACATCAACCTGTTCCCGTGGTTGTAGAGACTTGAAATTTGCAGGGGGTGTTAATGGGGACTAGCCATGACCTCACATCAAATTTGAGCCAAAGCGATCAATAACTTTTCATTTTACCAACGTTTTAGCTTCTGCCCAAAGATACGTTTACCCGATAGACACCATTTTGTTTGTTGACTATTTAATCTAGAATAACAAGACGGATTCTGACGCACTGCTTTTCCTGCCAAACGCTGCAGGATTGGCCTTAAATGTGTGAATATCGTTGTGACCTAGACGTTGACTTCAAATTTCCCATCAATCAAATATGAGCGGAATCGATCAATAACATTTCATTTTACCAACCTTTATCCATCAAGTTTTGTGGCATTTGTGTTATGTGTGCTATCCCAGCAAACACAAAACGTTTTGTTAACATTCGTAATTGGTTCTAATATGGTTGCGTTCAGGATGTTTTTTTAAGCATGTTCTCCAAACGTTCGAAAAGGGTTCAGAGGTAGACTGTACTTTTTATAAACGTCCCAGAAACATCGACAGAATGTTATCTTTTGACGTTTTAATTTTACTTTCATTCAACAATGACCGAACGTTATTTTGAATGTTTTTATAATGTTTCATCGGCAAACATTGTATTAAAACATTAGATTAATGTTTCAACTCCGTTTTTTATGACGTTATATCGCTGATACTGTGAAACGTACAAACATTAATTAATATCGTTCTAGTGACGTTTACTTTAGAAACGTTCAGATTAGCTGTTCCAAGAACGTCAACTGAATCACCTGAATCAACGTTATTTCCCAAGCCTGGCCAGACAACCCGTAAACGTCAGTAAATTATGTTCTTCTAACGTAACTATTGTAGCATTTTAATTTATGATTCTTTGAACGTTAGTAATATATTTGTTTGTGACGTTATATTGATTATATTGGATTTCAGTTTTTAAAACGTTCTGTTTTCCTAATCTAAAAGCGTTGAAATTAAACCAAAATAAAAACCTTACAATAAATTTCGTAAAATTTTGTATTTCCAGTTTGCATCTTTTTTTTACATCTTACATCATTGACAAACGTTGCATTAAAACATTAGATCAATGTTTCAAAACCGTTTTTTTTTTTTACGTTATATCCTTGATACTGCGAGGCATTACTAAGCATTGATTATTATCGTTATAGCGACTTTTACTTCAGAAACGTTGGGATTAGTTGTTCCGAGAACGTCAATAGAACCATCTAATTCAGCGTTATTTCCTATGCCTGGTCAGACAACCTGTAAACGTCAGCAACTATGTTCGTTTAACATAACTTTCGTAGCGTTTTAGCTTATGATTCTTTGAACGTTATTAATATATTTGTTTGTGATGTTATATTGATTAATGGATTTTAGTTTTTAGAACGTTCTGTTTTCCTAATTTAAAAACGTTGAAATTAAACGAAAATGAAAACAACCTTACAATAAAATTCACAAAACGTATTTCCATTTTACTTCTTTTTTACATCTTACATCATTAGCAAACGTTGCATTAAGACATTAGATTAATGTTTCAACCTCGTTTTATTATGACTTTATATCCTTGATACTGTGAAACGTTACAAAACATTAATTAATATCGTTCTAGTGGCGTTTACATTAGAAACATTGAGATTAGTTGTTCCAAGAACGTCAACTGTACGTTATTTCTCAAGCCTGGTCAGACAACCTGTAAACGTCAGTAAATTATGTTCTTCTAACGTAACTATTGTAGCATTTTAACTTATGATTCTTTGAACGTTAGTAATATATTTGTTTTGTGACGTTATATTGATTTCAGTTTTTAAAACGTTCTGTTTTCCTAATTTAAAAACGTTAAAATTAAACGAAAAATCAACCCTTCCAATAAAGTTAGTAAAATGTATTTCTATTTTACATGTTCTTTACATCTTACATCATTAGCAAACGTTGCATTAAAACATTAGATTAATGTTTCAACCCCGTTTTTTTATATCGTTGATACTGTGAAACGTTACTAAACATTAATTAATATCGTTCTAGTGACGTTTATTTTAGAAACGTTCAGATTAGTTGTTCCAAGAACGTCAACTGAACCACCTTGAGCACCGTTATTTCCCAAGCCTGGTCAGACAACCTGTAAACGTCAGTAAATTATGTTCTTCTAAGGTAACTATATTGGCGTTTTAACATATGATTCTTTGAAGGTTAGTAATATATTTGTTTGTGACGTTATATTAATTTCAGTTTTTAAAACGTTCGGTTTTCCTAATCTAAAAACGTTAAAATTAAACGAAAAATAAACACTTCCAATAAAGTTCGTAAAACGCTGTATTTCTATTTTACATGTTCTTTACATCTCACTTCATTAGCAAACGTTGTATTAAAACATTAGATTAATGTTTCAACCCCGTGTTTTATGACGTTATATCGTTGATACTGTGGAACGTTACTAAACATTAATTAATATCTTTCTAGTGACGTTTACTTTAGAAACGTTCAGATTAGTTGTTCCAAGAATGTCAACTGAAGCAGCCGAATCAACGTTATCTCCCAAGCCTGGTCAGACAACCCTGTAAACGTCAGTAAATTATGTTCTTCTAACGTAACTATAGTAGCGTTTTAACTTATGTTTCTTTGAACGTTAGTAATATATTTGTTTGTGACATTATATTAATTTCAGTTTTTAAAACGTTCTGTTTTCCTAATCTAAAAATGTTAAAATTAAACGAAAAATAAACCCTTTCAATAAAGTTCGTAAAACGTTGCATTTCTATTTTACATATTCTTTACATCTTAAATCATTAGCAAACGTTGCATTAAAACATTAGATCAATGTTTCAAACCCGTTTTTATGTTATATCCTTGATACTGTGGAGCGTTACTAAGCATTAATTATTATCGTTCTAGCGACTTTTAC